GGAAAACGTGAAAGTGTAAGAAGGGAGGCGTCAGCAGTAGCATGTTTTCGCTTACCCGCACTGCTGTATGCAGCAACTAAGGCGACCCGGCTGATGGCACCACGCGACGGCCGATTTGGCATGAGAATATTGATAGTTGTGTAGGCCATGGTTGTACGAGGGCTGGGATACTGCCAGGGCGCCCGCACCTAGACAGGAGGACGATTAGGGTCCTCAACCAAAGCCTTTAGCTCAAAAGCCTAACCGCAAAGCAGCGGTGTTTGGCGGGAAATGCAAATGCATTACCATTTCTACGGAACAAGTCGCCACATGTTCCAACCCCCAACCTGGAGGACCAGGAGACCTCTAACCATTGACCAACCTGGTATGAGAGAGTGAGTGAGTGTCGCGCGGACACCCCCCAGTATAGCTCAATGGGTCTCCGAGGTACACAAACCGCCACACCACGGTAAGGTCCAGTTCGTGACGGCAAGGTCCAGTCTCTTCGTGACGGCATCGACATCGGTCGGTAGTCATATGTTGCAGTGTCTCCAACCAAGCGCATTGGGAATCACGTGTTCCTCATATTGGAAAGCGAGTAGCACTGACAGCACGCAAGCGTTTCGTAATCTCTTTCACAACCCCTTCCAAGTCAGGGGTTGGCCACCTCTTTGAGTTGGGCATGGAAAACAGCGCTCTCTTCGGCAAATGATGATTCAGCATATGCAATGTGTGGCCTAACCAGCTTCCGATTCTGGATGCATTCTTCAGTGGAAATGCACGTTGCACAGCCAAAAACGCGCTTTCTACTTGCCTCAGTACGGATTCGCCGACACCACTCACACGAGCTATAGTCCTCAGTGATTGTCGGACATCTGGATACGTCTCAGTCCTGCTGCTCTAACAGATCAATTCTCACAACCATAAAACAAAACATCCCGCACTGTAGCTTAATGCACACGTCCCGAGATTCAGGGATACACCAGTTTGACGCTATAGGTGTCTCAAATTAGCAAACGAGACCCAAGCTTTGAAGATTCGCTCATTCACCTCATGTCACACTACAACCAGAACCACTATAACTTCCAAGATACGCAAAACGCTCCACAACGCTACAACCATGATACAACAAAGGGGAGAATCCCTGAAGACTCATTCAACAAAGCTCCCTAGTGCGATATGGAGTGAGGAGAAAGTGCCTGTAGGGTGAGCATGTCGACGGTTATTTGCATATACAAAAAAGTCAGGGTCCTCAACCAAAGCCTTTAGCTCAAAAGCCTAACCGCAAAGCAGCGGTGTTTGGCGGGAAATGCAAATGCATTACCATTTCTACGGAACAAGTCGCCACATGTTCCAACCCCCAACCTGGAGGACCAGGAGACCTCTAACCATTGACCAACCTGGTATGAGAGACTCTGTGAGTGTCGCGCGGACACCCCCCAGTATAGCTCAATGGGTCTCCGAGGTACACAAACCGCCACACCACGGTAAGGTCCAGTCTCTTCGTGACGGCATCGACATCGGTCGGTAGTCATATGTTGCAGTGTCTCCAACCAAGCGCATTGGGAATCACGTGTTCCTCATATTGGAAAGCGAGTAGCACTGACAGCACGCAAGCGTTTCGTAATCTCTTTCACAACCCCTTCCAAGTCAGGGGTTGGCCACCTCTTTGAGTTGGGCATGGAAAACAGCGCTCTCTTCGGCAAATGATGATTCAGCATATGCAATGTGTGGCCTAACCAGCTTCCGATTCTGGATGCATTCTTCAGTGGAAATGCACGTTGCACAGCCAAAAACGCGCTTTCTACTTGCCTCAGTACGGATTCGCCGACACCACTCACACGAGCTATAGTCCTCAGTGATTGTCGGACATCTGGATACGTCTCAGTCCTGCTGCTCTAACAGATCAATTCTCACAACCATAAAACAAAACATCCCGCACTGTAGCTTAATGCACACGTCCCGAGATTCAGGGATACACCAGTTTGACGCTATAGGTGTCTCAAATTAGCAAACGAGACCCAAGCTTTGAAGATTCGCTCATTCACCTCATGTCACACTACAACCAGAACCACTATAACTTCCAAGATACGCAAAACGCTCCACAACGCTACAACCATGATACAACAAAGGGGAGAATCCCTGAAGACTCATTCAACAAAGCTCCCTAGTGCGATATGGAGTGAGGAGAAAGTGCCTGTAGGGTGAGCATGTCGACGGTTATTTGCATATACAAAAAAGTCTGACTGAACACAGGGGAGACAGATCCGTGAAAACCAAGGGTTAAGTCCTGCAAGTGGATGCATCGGTCACATTTTCACCCACCGACAGACTTTGGAACAGCGACACCCTTCCAGTGTCCAATAACGGTCCTCTTCGACCTGAAAGCTGCCTTTGACACTGTGAACCGTCAGACACTATGGCAGTGTGTGCAGAGGAAAGATATCCCCCATAGATTCCTAACCCTCCTAATGACACTGTACGCCAAATCCCGCGGACCTGTGAAGGTCTACGGGAAGCTGTCGCATGAAAGGTGCTTTCTGGTCTAAGTATCTAATTATATTTAAAGCATTAGAATTGAAAGAAGAGTGGGCGTCTGAGGGGACCTGTGCTGACTTATCCCACGCATTCTGAGGTGCCTACACCTCCAACCATCCACTTAGACAAACGCCACTGACATTGATCGGACGCCAGACGTAAAACACACGAGGATCACGAGGACTTCATCCTGGAGGGCGTACCACACCAAAAACACCCGAACTCTTCGTAAGCTTATTCACACCCTTCTGCCAAATCAAACACTGTCCACCTCGCGTGTTTTTGGCCACTTTGAACGAGGCGTACAAAACGAAGCTCGTCTCAGGAGAAGCGTTTGATGGTGCTGGTGTTTTCCGTGACCGAAGTACCTGCAGTGCGACCAAATACACGTTTTCTAATCACCTCGTTACATATCCAAATCATCAAATCATCCGTCCACAGAGACCATGTTTCGCCTTTGAGATTCATGCACCGACTTCATCAGACAAACTTCCATTAGAGCGATTACAACTGCCGAAAACACGTATAATTCTCCCAACCTCCAATGATTCTCCTTGAATCGTTCAGAGACTATACGTTAAGGAGCATGCCCACAGGTGAAGTAGAACCCTGGACGGTGAACGTGGAACCACGTACGGCCTCGGAGGTTTACGACTGCATATGTTCTCTCACGCGCTACCGAGCTCCCGGTCCGGATGACCTTCCACCCGCACTGTTCAAAGACGGGGGTGAAGTCCTCAGTCAGCGCTTGTTCGATCTGTTTACTTGCAATTGGGAAAAGGAGTCTGTCCCAGACAACTGGGGAGAACCGGTGATAGTGCCCATTTTCAAAAAAGGGGCACGTGGTGTTGTAACCACAGGGGGTCAACCTGACCCCAGTTGTAACGAGACTGTTGGCGTCAATTGTGCTTCGTCGCCTTACGGTGGCTCGTGAGATACTGACCCGAGAGCAGCAAGCGGGATTCCGGCCTGGTAGGGGTTG